TATCTTGTCAGTTATACAATCGACAATACTCCATTGCAACGTATACTAACGTTAAGGATCTAGGCGTTCTTTTTGATTCTAAACTCTGCTTCAATCTTCACATAGATACCATCGTTAATGAGGCAAAAGGTGTACTTGGATTCATTAAACGATGGTCTAAAGAGTTTATCGATCCTTTTATAACGAAACTTCTGTACATCTCTCTTGTTCTTCCTATCCTTGAATACTGCTCTTGCATCTGGTCTCCGCAGTATAACAATAGCCAGGATCGTATTGAATCTGTTCAGAAGCAATTTCTGCTTTTTGCCTTACGAGGTTTAAATTGGGACCCTAATCTTTGGTGGCCATCCTATTCCAGCAGGCTGCTTCTTCTTAATCTTCCGTCGTTAACCAACCGTAGGACAATTCTCGGTGTTGTCTTTCTACATAAGTTGGTTGTTGGCGATATAGATTCTCCTTTTCTGCTAGGGCGTCTTCAATTCTCTGTTCCGGCAAGACCAACCAGAAATTACCGCCCCTTATTCCTATCGACGTGCACAACAGACTACGCTATGCACAATCCTTTTCGCGTGCTATGTGAAAATTACAATAGTTTGCATCACGTTTTCTCTACCGAATTTTCTCTACCCCTAATAAAATCGTTGCTTTCAGGATACCTTCGGGAAGTCACTGACCATTCTCAGCTATGAGCAGGGGCATAGCTTGCCGGACAGGCTGTACATTTTCCCCCACCGGGTCGGTGATTTCCCATTACTTTCCCAATACTATCCTATTATCCTATCTACTTAACACTCTGTATATCTAGCATACAGTTCTTTACTTTATTAACAATCTTCTTCTTAAATAATATAGCAAATTAAGATTATTTTTAATTTTTGTTAAGAACACTTTTTCCTACTTACACCCTTCTTCTTAGATGTAGGCTCTAATAGCGTCACTGACAAAATTAGCTGTGAAAAGGGGCACAGCTGGCCAGACTGGCAAATAAAACACCTCCATCGGTCGGTGATGATATTAGAAATTTGTGTTCCCTAACTAGGCTTTTAGCATTTAATTTTCATAATTGTATATAAAATGTATTGAATAATTAGGAAGACACTCGTCTTGTCGACCACTAATAAATAAATAAATAAATAAATAAATAGATAAATATTACTAATGTGTTTTGTTTTTTTCATAAGTATAATGATAAGACCATATCGGGGCTCATAGAGGAATTAGCAATGATGTGAACACGATACATATTTATATATTGATAACCCCACAATCAGTTGGCAGTTGACTATGCGGCTCCACGCAGAGAACATCGAGTATAAAACCAGCAAACAAAAGAAATGTGATTTAATAGATTAATATCTATGTCAAAAATGAAATACCAGTTGCTTGGGCCACAAGGTCCGCCACGTTTCGGGGATCGGACCTTACGCTTGCCCTTCAAAGTTCTGCTAGGCTCTGCCTTGGTTCTGCTTGTCTTCTATTATGTTAGACATGTCTCAGAAACTGGGCGAACTTTGGAAACTGAATTAAATGACCCAAGGCTTGCCTCTACGACGACAGTAAATCCAAACACGCAGATACCAATTGAAATTGAGGTCTTCAATTCAACTCTGGGTAATTGTGAAAAAGTAGGTGTAGTTCATCTCGAGCTTGATTCAATTTTTTTTCAAAATCAACAGAGCCCAACACTAGCAACTATTATGTGAAAACCTCAAAGTGTCGTATGTCTGCCCCAAATCCCTTTACGGCCGATGTTTTAAAAATATATAAACCAAAAGCATACAAGAAGTGCGATCCAAGTAAGGATCTAATCACAGTGCACTTTGAGGAGGGTCTCTACAGGCTACATATGAACGAAGTGAATATCACATGTTGCTACAAACAGATTCTGCGTTCCGGCGATCGCGCTCAAGCGGACCAGATGTATAGGTAAACACTTTATGTACAAAAATATATATAACTTTATTATTGTAATTATAAAATTATAATTTTTACCATAGATTGCTGCCATGCAGTAATTTTCATCAGGATTTCGTCGTGCCACAACGCGTAGACGCGATGATCACCGAATGCCGTCGCTTGAAGGACAAAAAGTTGTTGCAACAGGATGCCTTTGGCTTTGTGCAACCAGCGAGTCATGTTGACAATCGCACAACTTTGAATAATTCAAATATAGATCAATCCCCTGAGAGTAGGCCCAGTGTCCTGCTCTGGGGTATTGACTCCATGTCGCGAATGAACTTCCAGCGGACCATGCCGCTGATGTACTCGTATCTCAGGGAAGAGAACTGGTACGAGCTGCAGGGCTACAACAAGGTGTGTGTTTCCATAATATATCCGGCACTTTACCATTAACAAATGTCTTACTCAGATGGGAGACAACACATTTCCCAATTTAATGGCGGTCCTAACAGGATTTAACAGCACCAGATCCGTGTCGGTCTGCCAGCCCAAACAAGTGGGTGGCTTGGATGCTTGTCCAATGCTCTGGAAAAAATACAAAGAGAAGGGCTACATAACAGCTTATGCGGAGGACTGGAACCGTTTTTCTACGTTTAATTATTTATTTAAGGGCTTTCAAAACCCTCCAACGGATTACTATGCACGTCCACTAATCCTGGCCGTTGAGAAGGAGCTTCAGAAGGTGAACGACATGGCCATACCCTACTGCGTGGGACGAAGGCATTTAGCGGAGTATATTTATGACTCTGCACTACAGTTTACGGAATTCTATAAAAACCAGTCGACCTTTGGCATGTTCTGGACGAATTCCTTTAGCCACAACAACTTTGCCCTGCCCTCTTCCATGGATGCCAAGATCCTTGAATATATGCACACATTGCAGAAGAGTGGAACCTTTGAAAGGTCAATTATTTTATTCTTCAGTGATCATGGCATGCGATTCGGCGCACTGCGCAGCTTGGAGAGCGGCTTTCTGGAGGAGCGCATGCCCATTATGTATATTTGGCTACCCAATTGGTTTAGGCAAAAGTATCCAGAGCTTGTAGATAACTTAATGCTAAATCGGAATCGCTTAACTTCACCGTACGACATCCACGCAACGTTGATGCACATCCTGGAGCTGGAGGCACCGTTGGCTAAGTTGCCAAGGCCTGAAGGTTGTCCCGGCTGTCATAGCATTTTTTTCGAGGTAGCCGCATCAAGAGATTGCACCGATGCGGGCATCGATGCACCCTGGTGTACTTGCCTGCAACTAGAAGAGGTGCCACAGACCGATCCGAGGTCAAAACTCCTGGCAGACCAGCTGGTCGAGGCCACAAACAATTATTTGGCAGCTAAAAATCTGACAGGAATGTGCGAGATTCTGAAATTAACTAAAATTAAGTCTGTGAAAGCGCGAATTTCATCGCGCTCAAACCAAACCGATTCCTATCTGGTCAGATACGAGACGGCACCAGCCGAGGCCTTGTTCGAGGCAACGGTCAAGTGGAGCAACGCGACGCAGCGCATCTCGATTTCTGTGCCCAGCATCAGTCGAATGACTGCATACAGGGAATACTCCCAGTGTGTAGGGGATGCTACTCTCAAGAAGTTCTGCATCTGCATGCAATCAGCTATTAAATGAATCAACCCCAACAATCCAAGCTGGTGGACTGCCGTTTAACCACACCCAAAGATGCATCTGCATTCCTTAGTATCTGTATCTGTTTCTGTTTCTGTGTCTGTATCTGTATCTATACCACGAGAGCATTGTTTCGCCAATCGGCAGTTCCGATCTCACCCTGTGAAGTTGCAGGCAGTTTCCGCAACTAATTTGGGTTGGGCACAAATTAGTTGACAATTATATGACAATTGAAAGAGATAATTGCAGCAATATCAACGATAAGAAGACAGCTGTTTAGTCTGCTTATTTTAATTATTTATGCGCATTTGTTGCTTGTCAACGGGTCAAAATACTTTTCTTAATGAATAATAACAAATATAACTATATGTAGTGCATTATCTTATCACATGATCAATAATATGTATTCTAGGAAAAGTGAAGCGTCTCAGTCAATGAGTTTAAGAACCTGTCAAAGATAAGTTTTATGTGATTATCAACACAAACAAAGGTTGTTTCTAGTGGTAAATGTTTATTCGATTGAAACTCCTTGATAGCCTCGAAGCTGGCAATTTTTTTTTTATTTTTTATATGAATAGTTTTGCTAAAGCGCAGAAGAAGTTGTTCAATGCGAAAAGCTTTTTATATAGCTTGGGATAAGTTGAATGTAAAATTTTTAATTTATTATATGTGCACTTTATTTCCTTTATTTTATCCCAAGTTTATGATAAGATATATATATATATTTATTTGAAGATTTACTATAAAGGATAAGTTGGATAAGCATTAAAAGCAATTTAATGTCTATATTAAATATTTTACTTCAATTCCTCATAGGATTAAGAGTCCTCACTCCTTAGCAGACATATGCCAGCAAATTAATATTGTAATTGATACCTTTTATTTAGTCCGATGCAAACTCGTTTTTGGGAAAACAAAATTACGAATCAATCAAAACATATTAAAATTTGAGGCTCAACTCGTATTCCCATTGAAAATGGCGCAGCAGATGAGTACATTAGGACAAGGGGTGGCCGGCGGCACCACCCCAAAAACCACAAGAAACCACTAAACGATAACCACAACAAACAACGTGTAAACAATAAACAGAAGCAGTTGATGATGCAGATACGAATACTGCTACAGATACACTCCATTCAAATCGCTCAAGTATCTGTATCCTCATTTGTATCAGTATCTTTAGCTGGGTGAGCTACTAAGGCCGGTTCCGTATGTCAACTTCAATTACTTGCGCTGCCTAATCGCGGGCTGATAAGGGTAATAAAACAACGGCAGCCTACCTGATGTGCTCGCCCGTCTCTGGCCAGAGCCGGGCAACGCCTATTAAACGCCTCGCTGCGCCCAAATGAGATTCGAATGCCGAATGAGATTGGAAGCCGCTGCCAGACAGGGATGGCCATACGGTGCTGCTCTTGGTGTCGCTTGTGGTGTCGGTTGTGGTGCACAAAATGGCGGCTGAGCCTGTTCAGAGAGCAGCCTTAAATAGCCAAGGATGCGCAGTGCGCTGAAACAGTAGCTATTTGGCACTGAGACGCGCAAGGATCGTCCAGGATGTGTGATTTTAGCATCGACTACATACTGAACCGCGCCGGCGATAGATATGTCGGCACCAATGCCTCCGTGGGCATAATGCAGCGACTTGGAGTCAGCCTGTATCATCCATACGCTTCGCCTGCACCCAAGGAGCAGTTGCCGTCCGCAGCATCAGTTTCTATGCTGGACGGACCGATGCCCATGTACGACTTGCTGCAATATACACGCTACCATCCGCCCAAGCTGCCGCGAGCGCTGCGTCAGGGATCCGCGAAGCGTACACCGGGACGCCTGCCACGCATTCCCTTCACACCCGCCCAGCTACAGGCATTGGAGTGTGCCTACAAGGAGTCCAACTATTTGAGTGCCGAGGATGCGAACAAGTTGGCCGAAACGCTGGAGCTGACGAACACGCGCGTCAAGATCTGGTTCCAGAATCGTCGTGCCAGGGAAAGACGTGAGAAACGGGAGAAGGACGAGAGCTGTGACTCCACCTTCTCATCGAATGCATCCAGTCCGGAGCCAGAGACCGAGTCGGATATTTTGGTCATTGTTTGAAAAGCAATGGGAGCCTCATTGGGCGGGTTCGCGAACGGGGCGTGGTTAGAAAGAATGCCCAAAGTTTGGCTGTTACTGTGTAGATTGTGATTGTTTGTACATTGGATTGAACGACTTTTTGTTAATATTATTTCTTTATAAGCACATGTATGTTTAGATTTATGATACGAAGACAATATATAAATTATTAGTAAAATTAAATTTTATAAATAAAACCAACTTTTATATGAAACACTTATACATAAATTCTTTTGAATATCAAATTCATTTTATATTCAACGATCATTACGGCTCTATAAGATCTGTTATATGAGTAAAATTCTAAAGATGCCTGGAAATTAGATAACAAATTTTTGAATAACTATGGAGCTTTTAGAATTTAGGATTTAAAGTCCAAATGTTTTGTAGATTTTTTAATTTTAAATTGTAACTCTGGAGCTGTAAGGAACTGTGCTTAGTTAAAGTGAAAATAAGCTGCAGAATATATTTTAAATAATTATAAGGGTGTTATTTTTTTTTCATATCTGTTTTATTGAAACTCGTTGTATTCAAATTTCTATATATTGTACTTGAGTTATTGGGTTAAATGTTAACGACCATTCTACAAAAAATTAAACTATTTAAAGAAAGTAATTCATTTAGTTTTAGTCTAAAGAATATTCTATATTGAAACTTTAACATTATTTTTTAGTAATTAAAATTGTTTCCTCATTAACACATAAAAATCGATAAATATTTGTTAATTTGTATTAATAAATTTTAGAAACTAATTGTAATGTTTACTTCATTTTGAAAAAAGAAAAATCATTTTATCAAGTAAGATAATTGCATAAGACCTTGATTTTGGTCAATATGGTATGTAAATGGATATAATGAAATCTGTTGAAGAAAACGAACCTAGTTATCAGATGAATTAACATAATCCAAATGTATATACATATAACAACAAGTTAAGTAATGTGATCTCCTAGATGAACAACGATTTTGTGGAAACTGCAATCTGGATTTGTTTTAGTCTATTCCCACACATGCTCTTCATTTACCTTGCCGCCAAGGGTATCATGGGATTGCGTGAACCATGTGCAAACACTGTGTGTAAAAATTATGCTGCCTGGGAAATTTTCTTTTACAAATCATCAATGAAAACGAAGTGATTCGCGTGCCGGAAAAACAGCAAACAGAGCTAAATAGTGAGGCGGGGCATATGCTAAGCCGATTCCGCAATTGTTGCTGTTTTCATGGTCAAGAATAATTTGTTTTTCCGCTTTCCATTGTTTGCATACAACAAAAATATCAAATTACCAAGCGGCGGCCCACAGCAAAAAGTGCCGACGTGCGGGGAGCGCCGTGTTTAAGGATACTCTTGCGAATACGAAAGATGATTATGATTTTGCCATCTCGGCAAACTGGAAGGCAAATGAGTCTACGCAAATCCTGGCGGTGTCTATACCTAAGCCCAGGCTAATCCGATCATATATGTATCTAAAAACTGGACCAAGGTGGGCAAGAGGAGGCCTGGAGCGCATGCGCCATTTACCTATATTAAATGAACATCGGCGATATGAAACGAGAGGAAATGGTCGTTGAAGGGTTCTCAATTGATGCCGACTATGTATGAGATGACAAATCTATCAAATGACACATCTGTTCGGTGCTCAAATGCATTCCAGTTGATAGAGGACATCAGTTGTCAAAGGGAGTGCATAAAATGTATTAAACCAAAACTTTAAAGAATATAGCCAGAAACCTTCTTGAACAATTTAAGCCACACTCATTAGTTGAAGATAATTCGGGCAAATTTACAAAATCGGCTTATGATTTGCATTCAATGAACGAATGTTTATGTTACTAATCTAGTCCTGTTTGACAAACAATGCGGCAATATTTATTCTAATGGCGTAGAATAACACAGCCATGCGCCGCATTGGGCTGTAAATGTCCTCCCAGGTCCTTTTCTTAGAGCCAAAGACAATGTGCAGGCAAAAGCAGTGCAGGCGCACGCACATAATACCGAAGTGGGTCAAGTCGGGCACAGCAGACTAGACATGGTGGGATTAACCTAATTCCTATTTTTACGTAGATTGAGGTAAGCGCACTATGTGGCTTAGTGTGGCGTCAGTCAGACTGGCCCTTTGCCAATGCTGCTTGCTTGCCATTTGACATAAATAGCGACACATTGTACATACAAATTTTATTCATATATGTAAACTCTAAAGTATTTGAATTTCTTATCATTTGATTATGTACATAAAAATTTTAAAATATTTCGCAGTTCAAATAAAGCAAAGGCCCGCCATTAATTGTCTAAAACGTCTGGCAGCACTGTTAGAATTCGCCGAGTTGCATTAAATGCGTTAGCGCCCTCTAGTGACAACTCTTGACGATTATAAATTTAACATATCGGCAGCAACCCTAAATTCTTTCTTTTCGATAGATCCGCATAAAAGTGACAAGGTGAGCAAAAGTTTTTGCCAAATTTTTGGATATTTAAAAGGTTTTAATAACGTAAATGCGCGAAATGTACTGTACAAAGTGTGGAAAATTTGTTGTGCATAAAATTCCAAACTTGGCGTCTTGCTAGGTTGTGAAAATATCAGTGTGAAATGCTACACGTGTTTTCCCACTTCGACAAAGGCGTAGGCTGTGGATGTCAATTTAATTTCGTTTTATTCGGTTTTCAGAGCACATCAATATGCAGCTTTTCGTACGTGGCTTGGAAACAATTGAGGCTTTGGAGGTGTCCCAGGATGCCACCATTGCTGGTGTCAAGGTGAGTGATTGTGGAAGTCACGACAACAAAAATTTCCCCCTAACCTCATTTCTGTTGTTTCTCGCATCATAGAATCAAATCGCCCAGCTGCATGGCTTCGATTCCGAAGAATTCAGCCTGAACTGCGAGGGTGCCACTCTGACCAATGACACGCCCGTGACAGCTCTGAGCTCTTTCGAGCTGGACATTACCATTCCCATGATTGGTGGTAAGGTGCACGGTTCTTTGGCGCGTGCCGGTAAGGTCAAGGGCCAGACCCCTAAGGTTGAGAAGCAGGAGAAGAAGAAGAAGAAGACCGGTCGCGCCAAGCGTAGGATCCAGTACAATCGCCGCTTTGTCAACATTGTGCAGGGCTTCGGCCGTCGTCGTGGCCCCAACGCCAACTCGACGTAAGGTGGATAAGTTTGCAAAAGGAATGATGAACAGAAGCTGAGCTATTTTTTATTGCAAAATAATGTTCATATAGTAATTTTCAACAATTAAACAACTTATTTTACGCACGTCAAGTTGTAATCCGACGCGTCTCGTGTGTTTGTGTCAATTGGCAAAGTCAATGCTCTGGCCCTTGTTCAGAACTAAGCACCGATAATACCAGAACTCAATGCAGCTCACTAGCAACGCCGCAATGATGCCAAAGAGGAGAACCATAAAACAGCCCTGCATATCATCCATGTTCACTTTATGATTGGCGATTTGCCTCTGCATATGCTTCCCATTGCACTTGTCCATCGAGGGCAGATTCGTATCATGCCAGCGATCGATGAAACCCATGCGAAACAGCCGATCAATGTGCTGGTTAATCAAGTGCAAATAGGCGCTGCTCGAGGGCACAATTAATCCAATCTGCTCACTTACAAAGTCTTCCTTGCCCAATGCAAATCTGCACTCCTTATCCTGCTCAAAGTGCTGCTGCACAATAAGCTGCAGATTGATTCGCCAGTCAATGTTGATACGTTCACCTTGTTTTACTGCTGCAATATTCTCGCTTTGTGAGCTATTATAGACTGAAGCGCGCTCCATGAAACGCTTGAAATCGTGACGTGTCGTGGAGTGCACATACTTCTCAAAGAACGTGCCATTACGCAGGCCATATTGTTTGATTTCCTTGTGATCAAATAATTGATGAAGGTAATCGATGCCCGGCTGAAACTTTGGGAATGTGAGAAAAGCAACCAGATTTCCGCAATAGGTGGTAACCAGCACAATGACAACAAGCCACCAGACGCCGACCACCAACCTGCCACTATCCGCACGAGGCAGATACATACCACCTGCAAGAGTTGCACTTTTAAGGAGACTGCAGTTGCATGTGCCCGATCCGCTTACCTTGTTGTAGTAGCGCTCCGTAAATGTACCAGAAACAGTTTTTGACAGTCGACAGGCCGCGGATTTGCAGCTCCTGCAGCGGCACCAGCCGATTAACAATGTACAGCATGGGCGCCGTCACCAATAAAATGCCCGCCAAACAGCCCCAGGTCTCTAGGGTGAACGGAGCTGTAAACAGATAGATACGACTCACCTCATCCGGCTGTCGCAAAATGAACGTGTACTTCTGTATGCTTATGGGCTGCGTGTAGTTTAAGCGCTTCTTGTGCGGCTCATCAATGGTGGCTGCCACGGCGGCCATGAAGTACCCGTTACCCTGCATCAACTCAACCACACGATACGGTATGCGATAGGTCATTGAACCCATCAGCTCATCCTGCAAGCCAATGCAGTAATTAATATTCTCAGATATTTTTCTACTCTTATCCTCACGCTCTCATTCGTGCTCTGCCCAAGCGAGTACTCCGGGTAGTCCGGCGAATGGGCCTCGTGCAGGTAGTAGCTAAAGTTCAAAGCGCGGCTTAATTCCTTCAGTATTTCCATAACAATACCAGTGTGCTCCACGATGGCTCCGCGGCTGTCTTTGGTCAGTATTTGCCAGGGCGGGTTCTACGAGAAATTTGAACCAATATATAAGAATTACATACATATATTCCTGGTTCAATGACTCACATGCACTGTGACAATATCCATGGTGATGTTGCGAAAGTGCTGATCTATGTGTGGAAAGGTTAGTTCGTGGCATACAAAGCCCAGCAGCGGGCTCCAATATCCTATGTTGATGAACTCAAAGTTGCGATTTTTCGTATCGCGAGTGGTCGCTGCGGTCGGAGAGCAGGATAATATAAAACCCATAGATCCTTTGCGAACTTACCCATGCGATATTTACGATTCTCTTGACTCTTGCCCCAGGTGATGGCCGTTTCAAAGCGCCATTTGGCGCAGCTTGCGCATTTACTGTTAGCCTTCAAATATTC